TCGTTACTTTAATAAGACTTTATTATGATAAGATGATCTTCAAAAATCAGCCAATCACAATAAAAGCCCGCTATGCTTCTACCATGCATGTCAGTTTCGACAGGATAGACTGTATTTTAAAATTTAAACGAAGCTTTCCTTTTTTTTGAATTAGAGATTATTTTTAATGTTGTTTCTAACACTTCTTCGAAGCTAGTGCAATGTGTTCTTAAAAGTATTCAAACATACATAAGCAAAAGTTTGATACTTTTGAGAACGTAAAATTACACAAATCAAAAATCGTACAGATATTATTTCTAGTTTCGGAAGAATGCCAGAATGATAATCCTAAAATTAACTTTTTATAATTCAATATTCAGTTAAGGTAGCTTAGAAATGACTTCTTGATGTAAAGAAAAAAAAAGCTTCGTCTGAATTTTTAATGTGCACAAAAAAAATATATATATAGTTACTAACCAAAAGTTACTAACCAAATAGCTAACTTTTTTTTTGATTTCAAGTTGAACTTTTTTGTATTAAGGTTTTACAAGATCCAGCAAATATAATAATAGGGATGCAATACGCGATCTTAAAATACAACTTATTAAATTTGACTCAGGCTTACTTACGTTTATTGGGTCTCGCCATGTTTTCAGCGTTGAAAAACATTTATTCAATGTTCATAAATGTTCGAGAAGCGTCTATTATGCAATATTCATCACAAGTAGGTAATATTAGATGCAATTGCAAAAATGCGTGTGACAAAGAAATTACAAATGTAAAAAAAATGAATGTACCCTGTGAGAGTAGTTGTCATTTAACTAATAATAGATGTAAAAAACTTCATGCAATGCTTTTAATAAATTGAAATAGCTTAATTTTGTTGTAAGTTGAATTGGAATTCTTTAACGACTCGGGTACATTTTAGAATCCTATTACAACCTATGTTTATTCGGAATCAATCTAAGTGGATTCTAAATCCATAATAATTACATTCCAACGTACATAAATTTTTTTGAGGTTTTCGTCAATAATACTGTATTGTAAAATAACGTAAGGATTATGATACAAGGTGAAACCCGCGTCAGAGGCGGTTACGTTATTGATGCATTGATGCACACCACCGCCTCAATTTAATTGTCAAAAAAAGGTAACCTAAAAAACGCGAATTTCACCCACACTGATAAAAATGATCTCTGGCCTATGATCTGCAGCCAAACCGGTTTCGGGATGCAGAAACGCGTGACTAATAATCGAATTTGTCAACCATACACGTATCAAAAAACAATAAGCGTGTCGACAATTTTTTAAATCCACTACTATATATCAAAAACATTAACCATTCTAAACGACGGTCCTTTACTACACTGTTTTTCCGAGAAAATTTAATTGGAAACAGTTAAGGGAACAATATTTTATATTCGTTTTTCCTTAGAATAAATTTTTTTTGTAAGTTTTTTTGGTTTTCCTGTTTAAACGTTTCTTTCTTAAGCAGCAGAAAAGCTGAACGGTCAAGTATACTAATGGTGATAGCGTAGATACAGCTTTAAGCTTAATATACACAGCACCTAACTCTAGGTAACTCTAGGTCGAATTGAGTATTTTGCTTGGGTGGTTTATATACTGTACTTGCCATGCGTACATCCTTATAGGATACAACTATGGGTTGTTATAAACCCGTTCGTGGGATACACCTCTATGTGGTAACTAGGACAAGTAGGCTAATTGTTTAGCTAAAACTAAGTATCCCTTTAGGTAAATATTTTATTATATTTTAATTTGTATTATTAATAATAATTTCGCATTTTAATATTATTTGTATTATTATTATTTTTTTTGTTATTATTGATATTGATATATTTTTTTTTAGAGTGTTTTTTCTATTATAGTTATCGTTTACTGGTTTTGTCACCGTTGAAGTCGAGTTGTTGGTATAATTTCATCGTTTCGGTGGAAATACCAAGTTTGCATCATTTTGGGCTTTCGTCGTTTCTGATGTTGTCGTCGATGAAGACTTCAGGCTTTATAGCAGCATCGTCGTTGATGGAGAGTTCTTCACTTTGGGTGTCGTTATTATTGGATTTTTATCGGTGTATTTCATCGTGCGACTTCTTCGTTTTTTGTGCTGTATTGTCGTTGATTAGAATTTGCCATGTGTTTCAGCATTGGTGTGATTTTTGTGCTTTTAAAGTAGATGCGGTAACTTTATTTTTTTTATATTAAACTTTATAAATTTACCTATCGTGTAAAAAGTTTTAGCATTTTAAAAATGTACAATTTTTTAATCACATAATTTGAGATTATAGATTTCCGAAAACATCGATAAATTTATTTCACCTAAATTATTATTTCAATTATATAGAAACAAGTCTTTGGCCTGCTCATGCACTGAGAGTTTTTAAGTCAGATGGATTATTGAAGAGCACTTACATAATTATTTCGAATTACGAGTAAGAATAAAATAAAACAGATAAGAGGTTACAAAATTTTGCAAAATGTAATAAATTTATTTCTTACGTGTCTGAGTCTGTTGATCGTGGATGACTGTTTCATAAACTTCTTTTTTTGTTTTATATATACATATAGTATACAATTATCGTTATAAAATAACGAACTTGAAAATTATTTCGGTGTCCCGTGAAACACAGCAAATCATGGTGAATCACTGTTGTACACGATAACCTTAACGTTAGATAATCAGCATAACGATAATATGATCCGAAAATCAATTTTGATTATCCTCTTTAACGATGTTCAGAACATCTTTAACAAGATCAAAATATGCTCCAAAACATTGCCTCAATTATAGTTCCATTGTGCGTCTCCACACACCCTTCTCAATTCCTCACGAGTTTTCATAATATATATCTTAAAATTTCTCTGTTCCTAAAATAGAATTACGATAATAGAACATGCCTATCTAAAATCTTCCTTCCAGTTACAAATGACCACGTCGCTTCAGAATCCATAAAAGACAAGAAAGAAGAATCAACAACTGAAAAAGATGGCGCTGTTAAAGGAGAAGGTCATCATTTAATGATTCGTGCCGGTCTTATAAGGCAGGTATATATATCGGATAAATTGGTTGGATTACAGTTCTAAATTATAGCGATCTTTATTTTAAGAAATTATCCTTTCTGTAAACATTAGTCTTCATCGGGCGTCTATTCTTTGTTACCTTTCGCATTACGTTCTCTAGAAAAACTTGAAAAAATCATAGATCAGGAAATGAGAAACATTGGTATGCTTGAGACTGCGTTAATTTTTTTTTTTTTTTTTAGTAAAAATGGATTATCATTTAATTTCTACAAAAACAACAAGGCGCCCAGAAATTATCCCTTCCTATTTTATTGAGCGCCAATACGTGGAAGAAAACAGGGAGATGGAATGTTACTGGGAGCGAGGTTTGTTTATCGAAGGTGTAAAACTATATATTATATGCTTTAAGGAGTTGATTGTATAATTTCTTTTTCTTAATAAAACTGCGATAGCTATTTAAGCTTAAGGATCGTAAGGCTTCTGATTTTTGTCTAGCTCCAACGCATGAAGAAGAAATTACACAACTGGTTGCAAATGACATTTTTTCTTACAGACAACTTCCATTACGATTATATCAAACGGGTAATTTATAAATAAATCATTAATGTGTTAAGATTAATATTTGAAATTTAAATTGAATCAGTCAATTTTATCATAGGCAAAAAATTTCGTGACGAGATGCGACCACGTGCGGGTTTACTTCGTGGACGGGAATTTATTATGAAAGATTTATATACATTTGACGTTACTGAAGAGGCTGCCTTAAAAACCTATGAGGAAGTTAATGAAGCATATAAAAAGATATTTACTCGGATTGGATTACCGTTTGCTGTCGTCAGTATTAGTATTTAATCTTGTAAATCGGATTAAAAGTAAAAAAAAAATCGAAGAATTGAAATATTTGATCGATTTGAGGTATATAGGCCGAAGCTGACACTGGCATTATCGGTGGAACAAAATCACATGAATTTCATTTTTTGTCACCTGGTGAATCAAATTTTTTTTTTTTTTCTCTTGTTTGATAATTTTATGCAGCAATTTTTTAACATTACTTTATTTTAGCTGGAGAAGATTCGATTTTATCATGCATTCGATGCGGATACACGTCTAATGAAGAATGTGCTCGTGACATCAATGATGGATGCCCTGTTTGTTATAAAAATTCTATTACATCACACGATTCTGTTAATTTTCATCCACTTACAAGCAATCGTGCAATAGAAGTTGGTCATACATTTCTTTTAGGAACAAAGTATTCGGATCCATTAAAAGCTACATTTGCACCTGAAAATCCACGCCATAATGGTGAATTACTGTCAATCCAAATGGGATGTTATGGTATAGGTGTTTCACGAATGATTGCAGCAGTTGTCGAATCATCACATGACTCAAAAGGAATAATATGGCCACCGTCAATCGCGCCATACCGTGTGTGTATCATTCCAAGTGGTGATGATCCAGAGATTACTGAAAAAACTCGGTCTTTATATGATTTTCTAACTTCTGAATGTGACGGGTTGAATGGTGAAATTTTGATCGACGATCGTATGAATTTAACATTTGGATACCGCATGAAAGATGCTGAACTTCTTGGATATCCTTGGTTAATGATTATAGGGAAAAAATTCTTGGAAAGTGGAAAGATTGAAATACATGAAAGACATAATAATCAACGAAGATATTTAGAATTCGATGAAATAAAAAAATCTTATTGTTGGTCGTAAGCAGACATGAATTAATGTAATTAACAAATATTTATATTAAATCACTATCAATATATTTCAACGAACGTAAAGATGTTTTGAATTTCTTGTAACTTTTCAAAATGATATTTTATTCCCGAACTTTTTGCCAGTAAATATGTAATATAATTTAATAGTGTTTGCGGTATTACCATATGCATAAGCTATGAGTTTTATCTTAAAAATTTTGTCCAATCCTATATAACCATGAAATGAATATATGCATTGTTAAAATAATTATAAATTATCGTCCGTTCCTCCACCATCCATAGCCTCTTCCATTTGTTTTACTTCATTTTCCATTACTTTACTTTTTGCAAGTGCTTTCTTTGCATCTTCAATTTTACCAGCTTTCTTAAATGTTAAAGCCAATCTTTTGAAACTAGTAATACTATCTTTTACTTGTTCCAAATATTTATCAATCGTTAATTGGCCTGTTTGCACTTGAATTTCCATCAAACTCATTTTAATTTCAAGTGCGGACTTTCGATCAGACAAATCACCGGGAATAGGTTTTCCTCGTGCTTCCAATGCTGATATTTGTGAATTTACAATATTAATTTCTTCTTGGAGCAAGCCACTAGATACAATTAAATCAACACTAAAAAAAAATATATATATATATACAAATTTGTTATATAATGTATATATGTATAAATGCCGTTATCACAAAATTTTCGTACTTATTTAATTGATCTTCTGCGAGTTCCAACTCGTTTT